CCCTGAGCACCTGGGACTTAAACTGAGCAGCTAGCATAGCTAGCATAGCTAGCATATGTGAATGTGTGCATATGTGCTACCATTTTCTCCTTCTGGTATCACTGCTGAATAAAGTAGCAATTCATAATGGATTTGTTATTAATCTTAACAAAGACATTTGCACTTCCCAAGAAATCTCCTTATCCTTTCTGCCCTAAAGATATTATATCTGGGTTTTGCAGAAAAATGTGTTTTTCTTTCAACTCTGCTTTGTTAAATAAAGATTTAAAACTACTCGCTCCACTTCTCCTTTTGTTCTCCTCCTCCCTCCGAGTACTCACCTCTTATCTTCATAAAGGTCAACCCTGAAAAAGAGATTCAAAGTCCAGCGGAGTTAACCTGTTGGAATGGCTGGGAGGCATCATTAAAACTGAAGAATTCATGGTATAATCCCTCTTCTGTTCCTCCTTTGTCTTGTTTGCCATCTCATCTTCATCTTGCACTCTCTCTCACTGCCTCCCTCCCAGGAAAGGGAGCGCTGCTCCCGTAGAGGGCTGTTACTGTACTTCTACATACCTGCTGAGTAGAGCTAGAGGGGAGAGCTTCTGCATGGGCTTTAAAAGTAATCAAGGCACAGAGGTATAACCAACATGGGCATAAAAATCAGAAGCAAGGCCTCCAGCTAGTTCTAGTTCCAGGCTGAGAATCATTAGGAAAACTGAGACATTGTTTCAGAAATGAGTCATTGTCATTGAATTTGTTAAAGGTCATTTTTCAGTGCTGTGAAAGATGACAAACAAATTCCATTCACCTGTATTGATCTGGGTTGGAGACAGAAATTGATGAGACCGGTATCTGAAAATATCTATAACCTGATCAGACTTGATACTATTTTTGATTTATGAGATTTACAGCATTTATATAGTGTTTTTATCCAGAACACTTTACAAAACACACACTATGATTAATGGTTAACCCACTCTGCCTATCCTGATCCACAGGCGCCCCCTGACGAGATGCTCAAGGTGTCCCATTAGTAAATCATAGTAATCATAAATTCTACACTGACTGGAGTAGATGTAAATGAAGCAAATGAGTGGGTAAGTCAATTAAATAAATTGGACATCACTGCAAAATTGATGATATTTAATTGTCCATTCAGTGATTTCAAGGGTCAGTTCACAAAACACAGTGAGTGACTGAAAACACTCATTGGTGTAAAATGTTGTCTGATCTCTGTGTGGAAGATTGTGTAGTAGACAGTAAAAGACGTCACACACCTTCTAAATTAAAGTGGCAAAATGTAAATGTTCAGAAAAGAATTAGACTTGGCTGAGCTGAGAAAGAGGACTGGGCTGTGGAGAGAGAAAACGGAAGAACAGTCGGAATAAAACCATTCAAAGTAGCTGTTGCATCAGTTGTAAACCTCAGCGTATCACTCAATCCATCTAATTACCACAAAACACAACATAGTTAGAAATATTCACAACCTTTATTTCAAAGTATTGTTAAAATGTATTCCTTCAAAAAGAACGTACGGTATTTTTGTTTAATACTAATCCTGCTAAAGTCAGGGTAGACTGGAAAAGAACAATGTGATGTAAATGCAACAGAGAGAGAGAGAACAATGTAAACTAAAGTACTGTAAGTATATAAGAAAGGACGAGAAACTAATTCAGTGAAACAAACAAAGCAATGCAAACTTGAGAAAGACATGAAATAAATGAAAAAAACAGAATAACACATGCAAACAAATATATGCAGCAGCTTCATGAATGGTCGAATCAGTCTGCACACTTTCACACACAACTTAATTTAATATTCACCTCTGTTAATGTCTGTTGTCTCATCCTCTATATTATGTCCTTTATCCTGTAAATGTATTATTTTGTGTTGAAATGAGGGGAGAAATGAGTGGGGAAAATGGATCTGAAGGAATAATGCAGCAGTTTTGAAGGTAAAGCAGGCAGCCAGACTGGTTGGCAGGCTGGGACTATCAGATAACACTAACAGGTATCATTCTCAGCTCAGTTTCCGTAATACCTGTCACACTGCCACCTGGCTGGATGACTGGCTAGCCAAATGACTTCCTTGTTGACTGATCCACTGACCTGCTCTCTGGTTAAGTGACAAGGTATTTGACTACCTGGTTGCTGGGCCTGCTGACTGACACATTACAATGACTGACTCCTCTTCTCAGTCAATGGGAAGGTTCATGGCCTGGTCTCAGCTTCTGTCTTCTGTGTTACTGTACTCTCCTCAAATCTTGCAGCACAGAGTCCAGGTAGAGATGGGAACAACGCCCTCAGACCAAACTGATTTATTAGGA